TAAAGTTGCGCAGTAATGTACCAAACAGTGTTTCTTTGCTGTTCATAAGGTTTTCCTTGGCCAATTCTTTCAGAAGTGGACGGCCTCTTCCTTCTTCCTAGTCTGTCTCAGTCTATAAACTGGGCTGTTACCTGCACCAGGTGCATCTCGCTGGGTTTTAAATACCAGAGGCTCAGCCTCAAAACTCAAGTCTACATGTCACCACAGTAGGACAGACCAACAGACATAAATGTGTTTAAGCACCAATACAATTTTCACTTCCTCTCCTGTCATGTCACAAGGATTAGCAAATAAAAAAGGTTTGCCGCATCCAGGGGTGACCCTCTTTCTTCCTCATTCTGCACTTGTTACCTGCTTGTATTCAGAAAATGATTCACAAAAATAGTTGCAAATAATACGAAAGTGCAAAGCCATATCTGTCCAAATCTGTCATTTTTTCTATCATCAAGAGACCAATTAAAATGGTCTCTCTTTCTGGCAGAAAACAAAATTCATCCTGATAAGCTATTCCATATTGATTTGAAAGGAGGAGAGACTATAATCAGGTGGGGGAAAATGCAACCTGAAGATGAGAAAACGGTTTGAGGAAACAAAGACAAAAGCCAAGCCCAGGAAAAACAGGGTGATTAAGCTGGGACAGTTGTTTTGATTTCACCCCAGCAGATCCTAAGAGCATGGTATTTCTACTGTAAGTTCTGGATCAAGGCACACAAATGCATGGCACTTCAATAACACATACTTAACATTTAAATGTTTATGAGACATTTACAAATGCAAGAAGAAATGTAAAAATTTACACTTGTTTATAAGAAGAAAACTAGTTGGTGTCAAAGAACGTCATACTCTCACTGGCATCGAGTCAGGTTCAACTCATAGCGACCCCTCCTTGGGTTTCCAAGGTAGTATCACTATGGAAGTAGATTGCCCAACCTTCCTCCCAAGGAGTGGTTGGTAGGTTTGAACCCCCAGCCTTCTGGTTAGCAGTCAAATCCCTTAGGCACTATGCCACCAGAGCTCCCAAGGAATGTCATATGGTCAGGCTAATTATAATATGGGAAAAAGCAGAAATCCAAGATTGTAGGACTATACTGGACATTTTACAAAGTGGGTGGATTTTAAGAATATAAGAATAGAAAATTGTATTGGTGCTTAAACACATTTAAACAGAGTATTAATTTACAATTTTTAGGGCATTGCTGCATTTCAGGCCCTGTGCTCAGCCCTTTAAAAGACTTAGCTCATTTAATTCTCAAACAAATCCTACCAAGTAAGTTCATGTTTATCCTCATTTTTATACAAGGAAACTGAGGCTCAGAAGTTAGTGGATTTGTCTTACAAATACAGATAAGTGTGATAGCTAGGATTTAAACACAGGTGGGCTGACTGGAATATCTATACTCTAAATGCCCATTTTTTCCAACACAAATTTGGAACTCAATCACCAGCACACATAAATGTTTCCCAGGATACATGTTCAGTTGGAGGCTGAAATATATTATAAATCTACCGCCATCAAGTCAATTCTGACTCATAGTGACCCCCTTTGGGTTCCCAAGGCTGTAAATCTTTAAAGGAAATAGATTGTCTCATCTTTCTCCCACAGAAAGGGTGGTGGGTTTGAACTGCCAACCTTCTGGTTAGCAGCAAATGCCTCACCCATTATGCCACCAGAGCTCCATATTATAGATGCTATGCTTATCTGAGGGAGCTCTGGTAGCATAGTGGCTAAGACACTTGCCTGCTAACCAGACGGCTGGCGGTTCAAACCCACCAGCCACTCCTCGGGGGCCGACTCGACGGCTCATAACAACAACAACAACAACAACATGCTTATCTGAAACATGACAGGAGAGGAAGTGAAAAGAACTTGTAAATGTGTGGAAAAGTTTCAGTGGTTTTCTAAACACATATACATATGTAGTTTTCTAAACTACATGCTATGCTAGTCTGCTGTGATTTCCACTACAAATACTTGGGCTCTGAGCTGGGTGTACAGTTTACTAACATGTGCTACGCACACAGAGACGGTTAGACACTAGAAGAAAATTTCTGAGAACTCCCAAAGGAGAAGAAAGGTAAACAGCATTAGAAGTAATTACAAGCATAGCTCAAAATTTCTTTAGTGAAATTGTTTTCTTTCTTGGACATATGTAACTCCCTTGCTTCTCATGATACAATCTCTTGAGTCCCTGAACTTATCTGCAACCAAGCCATCATGTCATTATGACTCTGCATATTTGAATCAGATTTAGACTTTTCTTTCCTGGTGGGATATAGGTATATAATTGCACTTCTCCAAATTCTGAATACAGTTTCTAATGGCTCATTATAACCCATTATAAATTCTACTTAGCACATTATAAGATGACAAATGGCTAAACTCCATCCCAAAATAGCAGCATGCTTTCTATGTAACTATGGCTGGAACAACAATTAAACCATTGGTGTTGGTGAATGAAATATGACTGATCCAACATACATCAGTTTGTTTTCAATCTTGGTCCTCTTGAGCAAGCAATAAGGGGCCATAGCAGTAATAGGGAAGCTTGATAAACTCTCGTATTTTCCTGATTTAGGAGAGAAAGACATATTAATCTTATCTTGCTCACTGGCAGTGAGCAAGGGGAAGTTATAGAGTTGGAAAAGGCCTTAAGTCCAAGGCGAGTGTCTTCTGAGGCAATGCAAGGATGCCCCCATCATTTTCTTTTGAGACAGATACAGGAGTGCTGTCTGCCACCCTTTTGCTCAACACCCTGTTGGCTCTCCAGGACTATTACATTTCTCACTCAGCTCACTCCTGATCAAACCCTTTACCTGTTTGACTGACTCTCTCCCCAGATATCATCCAGGGCTTCAAAGCCAAAAAATAATCCCTCCAGAGCTATTTTTGTGCATTACAAACTAACTAATAATTATGTTCTACAAACTTCTCTGTCTTGCAAGTGAAATGAGGAATGACCATTAGAATAATTTCAGAAACAGCCACAGCCAGCTTTTCAAAGGCCAGTGTAGCTATGGCTGCAGCTCAGGATCACAAAGCCCTCAGTGACATACCTCATAAAGGTCTATCATGACGTTGCCCTCGGGGCCTCTGCTGCTCTGGACATTTTCCAAAGCCAGGGTGAAGTAGACACCACGGGTATCTGAGATATAGAGGTTGTATGTATCATTCTGGTTCCATTCTTGAACAGCTGCAAACACTTGATTCTCATCCGTGCTGATGACATGCATGTCCTGAAGATAGATACAGGAGAGGGAAGAGAGAAGAATTTTGTAAGTTACCTAGCAGGTGCCCAGAAAGTATGGAATCTTAGGAGAAGTATTCTAGAATAAGCACTGTAACAAAAAATAGAGATCTTCCTTTTACATACGTGTACAATAATAATTGATTGATTACTTATTAATCATATTTTGCCTTTGTCTCTTGTGGGGTTAGGCAGTATGGTAACAAGAAAATAGGACAGAGGGATGCCTGGTAGCTCAGTTATAATTTAATTGCCTCATTAGACAATTTAAAGAATATTTTCTTAAATATGTATGACTTGGGAGAATTCATCAACCTGATGTATTTGCCAAGGACAAACATGGGATTTTCTCAGAAGGCTTATATGGGGCAAATATGAGGAACAGCTGAAAGGACAGAGAGAGGACAGACAAACCTTGAAACTCTGTGATCCAAGGACCAGCAGCATGGACATCACCTGGAAGCCTGTTAGACCTGCAGAACCTCAGGCCCCACCTTCTTAATCAACATCTGCATTTTCATAAGCTCCCTTGGTGAGGAATATGCACATTAAAGTTAGAGAAGCACTGTCCAAAGACTCAACCACTCCTGACCATTGAAGAAAACATTCACTTCAGCATCCCAAAGTACCAAGCTCTACTTTAATAAAGGTACAGGGACTTAGCAGCTTAACTCAACCTTTACTCTTGAAGGCTCTGCAGGAAACCTCAAGTGAAACCAGAAAAGCTCAAACTACTGCCACTGAGTCGATTCAGACTCATAGCAACCTCCATTCTGATTGCAAGGCTGTAAATCTATTTACTCTTTTGCCTCATTTCCAACCCGTAGAGCAGCTGGTGGGTTTGAACTGCCAACCTTCTGGTTAGCAGCCAAATGCCTTACCCACTATAGTACCAGAGCTCCTTCCTCGAGTGATAATAGGAAGAAAATAATCTACATAATGGATGCTGTTTTCTGACCCTGGTTGCCCTGGAGACAGAAACAAGGAAAAGGTAATATGGAGGCAGTTGGCAGCTGCTCTCAAACAGGAGCTGGAATTCCAAAGCCTTTCTTCCTCCATTCAGTACTTTAGAATGTGGATATGCTGAGGAGGCTGACCCAGATTAAGGCTTGCTGTCTTCTTCAGGAGATGCCTGTACACATGCTCTTGGCAGCCTTTTACCCTAGCCCAAGGGAGTAGACATGGTATGACTTCCAAAAGACAAATATCAAACAAAGCAAAAAAAAGAAAAAAAAAGAATGTGGAAAGAATCTTGGCCTTTGTACAGCTCAGTGTTCAAATCTTCCAAGATGGACTACATTCTATCCTTGAAAAGCCCTGGGAGATCTGTCAATCCTCTTTAATAACAGTTTTAGTGTTGGAAAATTCTACCTAACGTCTAACTGAAATTTCTCACTGTAATATAAGCTCATGCTCTATCAATCAATCAATCAGCAATTCAGCCCAACTCTGCTCTAGACGTGGAGGAATAAGACTATCCCTCTACTAGCCTTGTGAGCTCATATGAACCCTGAAAAAGTAAGTCCTTATTCAAAGGGCTTCATATCCTCCTTGGGTATCACATGACATACTCTAGAACTAGGTAATGTTTTATACAAAGAATCCAGTGATGTTACTGTTGGGAGTCAAATCTGACTCACAGCGACCCTACGTACAATGGAATGAAACACTGTCTAGTCCAGTGCCATCTCCAATGACAGGAGGCGAAATCATTAGTCTGCCCCATAAACCCAAAGTGGCCAGTCATTGAAACAAAGGTTTGGTATAGAAGTTGGCTATTGTTTGTATCAGCCCAATGACTATTTACTTTTTCTCTGGTAAGTAGAGTTTGGTATTCTTTGAAAAAAACTGATAGCATAGTGCCTAAGGCACTTGACTGCTAACCAGAAGGCTGCCGTTTCAAACCCACCAGCCACTCCTCGGAAGGAAGGTTGGGCAATCTACTCCCATAGTGATACTACCTCGGAAACCCAAGGAGGGGTCACTATGAGTTGGAACCGACTCAATGGCACATAGCAACAACAAAAACACCACCACCTACTCTTAGACCAATTTCCTCCCTCTTTTCAACTTTCTTCTGCACAGAGCACCAGAGGTAGGCTTGTGCCCCAGTCCTAGCATTCAGAACATTCAGTACTCCATTTTCTAGATGACAGTGGTTGAATTTGGGATGGGCGTGTAACTCAGGCAATAAGACACAATTCTAGATGTTCTACTGAATTATTAGAGAGAGAGAAAACAAAACAAAACACCTCTAACCCTTGAGTTTACAAGTGTATAAATAAAAAAGGCCAGATCTATTAAAAACATATCTTGGAGCCAGAGAATAAAGCCAATCTTGAATAAAACAGGATCAAGAGATGAAGAGAAATAAAACAAATCCTTCAACCTTCTTTGAGTCCTTGGTTGTAGACATCCTAGAAACCAGCCCTGCTTCTAGACTTTCATTTAGAGAGGACTTCTAGGAAAATGATTAAGAAACAGACTTTGGAGCAATATTTTAGTTCAAATCTGACTCTTTAACTCAGCTGTGTGAACTAGAATTGTGCCTCAGAATTTCTACCTGCAAAAGAGATACAACAACAGTATACACAATATGGAGTTGTGAAGACTGCATCAGTTAGTAAGTGTTAAGCACATAAAATAATGTCTGACACTTGGCATGGGCTCTATGCATGCTAGTTATTTTCAGTTAACTGAGTCCCTAAATCCCCTTTGCTGCTGAAGCATGTTGGTTTGGCCTTTCTGCCTGTTACATCTGTTGGAGTCCTAACTCATAGGCTCAGGAACAGAGGGTGGTTCATCTGACTGTTTTGTTTCTTTCTAATGGAGAAAATGAGCTGTGAAAGTTAGACCAAGGACCACTGAACTATTAAGGGACACAACCTTCCACGAGCCCCTATTTCCTACAGAACAAAGGCCAAGATCCTTTTCCAGGCGTTTAGATTTGCCCAACAACTGGCCCCAATTTACATTTCTTTTTTGTCAGCAAGATGCAGCATGCTTTCAGAATTCAAGTCAAAATATTTCACTAATAACCAGACACTCTTATAAACAATTATCACCTGTGTCTTTGCAGTGCATTTGTGCACTGTTAAACCTCTGAATTCTTTTATACAAGGGACATTTCATTCGATAATGCCAGGTGGCTAGAGCCGATCACTTACCGGCCCATCTCACTCAAACGTCTTTATTTTGCAGACGCAGAACTGAAAACACAGATGTATCAAGTGTCTGGCTCGAGGTCACTTAAGAGAACTATTTGTATAACTACCACAGACATAAGGGTAGTTTCCAGACAAGATCTCCCTTTGTCCCCATATAATCTAATTACATTGACAGAATGTTCTTTAAAATGATGTCAGCTTAAAATATTTTTATGAATGAAAGGTCTGACATATTTAAATGCCATCTTTTTTTGCTCTTTCCTCCCAAGTGGTGCTCATGTTGAATATTTTCCTGGAGTCACAGAATTTTAGACCAAGAAGGCAAGCTGTGGGTCTTCCATGGAAATGTTTGCCAAAATCTGTTCTATAGGGCACCAACATTGTTAGACTTTGATAGATAAAAGAATAATTATTTGATGAAATGCTTTGATTCATGCTGAATTAAATGGCTTTCTTGATCTCAGAACCTGCTAGTGACTGCAGTGTACCACTGAGTGCTGTCTCTCTACTCAAGGACCACACAATGGACTTTTATCTGTTACTGTTTTAAAATTTATTTGATTCCAATTTTCATGAAGCCTCTTGAGTGACATTTTATCATGAGAAACACATTTGAGGAAACACTGTTGTGAATCTAAGCTCCTTATTTAAAACACTGGGGGGAAAAAAGGAAAAGAGAAATTGATAAGCCAGCCCAAAGTTTCAAAGCAAGTTAGGGACAGATCCAGGCCTGCGCTGCTGGTCTCCTGCCGCATCTCAGTGGCCCCCTGCACCACCCGCATCCTAGCCCACATCGATCTTCTACCGCGGAGACAACTAGATCCATACTAATAATAATATTACCTTGCTTTTATAGAGTATCTGTCCTCCAAAATGCTCAGAGCACTCTCATATGTATTGGCTCATTTATCTCACTTGAGTAGCTCCGAATGAGCTCCAAGTCAGTAAGGGAAAGAAGCCTGTCCCTACATCTCTCCATCTGGAAGGCCACATGCTCTTAACAGCAACGGTGACGTTCAAACCTTCTATTACCCTCTCTGGTCATCCTTTAACGCTATTACTCAATTTCTATCCTTTCTCTCTCTTTTTTTTTTTTTTGACAGAGCTCAGGATAACTATGGTCTTTCAAGAGCTGATACAATGGCAGTGGATGATTAAAGAAAATTGGAGCATGAAAGTACTGGTTGTCTTGCCTCCTTTGGTTGATGTGGGACTTTGTTCATTTCCAGCCTCAGCAGCCCCAGCTTTGATGGAAAGCCATGAAATAGGTGCCCCTTTGCTACAAATCACTCCTCCCAAGCGGAGGCTTCTCTTTGAAGGTACAATGGGGTTGTAATGAAGCATCTCATTGTCTTCAATAATAAACACCCGCTTGGACTAAATAATATATTCATTTGGTGTACTGGCTCCTATTTTCCTGGGAACAAGCTAAATTAATCACTGCAGTGTATCCTCAGACCTCAAATGAGGCTGTGTTATAGAACACGCTCATGGGGTGGAACAGAGGCAGTGGGGCGGCAACCAATTCTGATTCGGAGTGAAACTTTCCCCTCCAGACTGACAGGCTGCCACTGGGGGAAACTGTCAGCAGTGATCTGGGAGATGGCTATGAACAAACAATGCAAAGTATCTGCTTCCTAACACTCCAGTAATGGGTCCGCAAATGTGCCTTTGATTTCAAACTACCATTTCTGCCTCTCCTTAGGCTAACAGACCCTTTTCTCTTGATGTCTTTGACAGCATAACAGTAAATCTTATATATATACAAATTTTTTATGGTGGGGAGAGACGGTTATGTTTTAATAATAGAAGCAGTTTACTTTCAAGAAAGTGTAATATATAGAACACTAGCTTGGGAGTCAGGAAGACTTCCATTCTAGCACCAATTCTTCTGCACACAGCTTGTAGTTTGGGCCAAGATTTAGTCAACCCAAAGAGCAGAACCCCAGAGTGAACATGAGGTGGGTGACTCTCATCTGCTCTTTCCTAACTTAGTCTCGATTCCCACATGTCTTCTGTATAAGATCATCTCAATGCATTAAATGTAAGTCTTGTTTTTTAAGTTACACATCTTGCAAGCTAAGGATTTCATTGTTGGTCAATCAAAGGAGTACAAATTCATTCGAATGAGCAAGAAAAACAGCCCCGTGGGACATACTGAGGTTATGTTCATCTTCCTCATTGACATTCCTAAGAGATTATCAAAGGCTATCTGGACAACACTCTGTTTTCCTTTTACATATTGATTTGATCCAGTTGTCACTTAAGACACAACTCACACACCAGAAGTTTTTTGTCTTATCAAAGCAAACCTTAAGCCAAACCAAGAGCAAAAAGTAAATAAACATACAAAAACACAGATACACGGTTCTGGACAACTGCCACTAGAGTTACGCCATTATCAGCTGAAAACAGTAACTGCTAACATGGCTACAGTTCTTTGGAGTTAATAATATGCGTTATTTCTTCAAATGGGCTGAGATTTAACCCCACTTTTCACTAGACTGGGGTTAGGGGTAGAGTGATGGCCAAAAAGTAGAATTCTACCTGGGGAAGTCACACCAATCTTCCCTTATGTTGTACATGTCACGTGATTACCAGTGCAGCTAGTTGGTGTTGCTCCAAGATGGCATACTGCAAAGTTGTAGATGAAAAATACAAGAGCAAGAGGTACACAGATGCAATCACAGTTCTTCATTTTCCTTGTTTGACCCAAAGGCCTCAAAGCAGAGCTATCATCCTATTTAAATCTACACAGCCCCCTTCTTACAGTTATGTACACCTCCTCTGCTCCCAGATCAAGCACAATAAATTAATAATTCCTGGCCACTTAAAGTACACCACAATGGCAGCAAGGCTGCAAATCCACCGTTTGAGCTTCCGAGTCCGCTTGACCTCCACTAGGTGGCGCTCCAAATTAACACAGTTCTTCAGTGTTTCTGGAAAGATAGCCAGGGGTCATCAGCTGCTGAGGGCCTCTAATGCCTTCCCCACCAGTATTTTCAAGGGGTATGCCTTTAAGGAGACCTAGGACAGAAGCTCAACCCAAAAACTCTAAAGAAAACCAGCCTCACAAGTTCCACCGAGAGAAAAAGCAAAGGTTGGATGCCATCTCGCTGCATCACCTCCCGATGCAACAACTGATAACAATAAATGAGATGCACTGATTCAGACAGTATTAAAAATTCCATGTTGGTAGAAAATCAAGACATACTGCTTGGACTCTTCACTATTACAAAGCAAAAGCAACTCAATTACCAATTTATTCCAAAGTTCCTATAGAAAGAATCCCAGAGACAGAGAGAGAGAAATAACACAGGATGAAGACAGAAAGAAGGGCAAGAGGGTAATGAACATAAAAGCAGCCTGGTAGACACAGAAAGGATGGCCGAGGGAACTTGACAAAGAGACACAGGAGATAAAAAGAAGTAAATGACAACAAAAGACTGAAAGAGTCCTCTGCAAACAGGGTGGAGAGAGGAATTGTGAATTAGAAGAAACACTGAAAGGAAGAATGCAGTTCAGGCCATACCTTGGGCAAAGCATATTTGGGCAGCTTCATTTGGGCAAATACATTCCTTCGGTAAGACACGTAGTAATGTGGCCGTCCTCCTGATGTCAGCTGGATGACAAATACAAAAGTTATAAGAGGAGCTAATAACAGTTACACATGACAGTGGAACAGCCAACACACAGTGTGAATGACTATTGTGGACAAGCGTAAGGAACTGGTATTCCATTCCAAAGCAAACTATACAGTGTATACGAGTTGGTCAGACCCCTAATCTGAACCTGAACCCATTGGACTAAAACACAATCCTTCAACTAGCATTGGGGCTCAGAAGCTAGGAAACATTTTCCATTTTTTTAATGGTACATGTCTCAGAATATATTTGTTTCATATTCATCAGCATCCCAGACACCCAGCTCCGAGCCTACCACCACACAAACAGGTTCTCCACGCAGTTTCACGGGGAAACGGGCCAGCTGAACAGTGGCAGAACTGAAGCTTCACATTTCTGGGCACTGAATTCCAGATCGCTGGTTGCCATGGCAATGGCTACAGGCATACCTCACCGACAGGAGGTCTGATATCTTAGAAAGCCTCACCAGGGTTGTAGTCCACAGCTGGGTTAGATCTCAATCTCCCAAGAGAAGACTGTGAACTACCACCGTCAATTTTGTCAAGGACATAGAGCCCAATGAATACCAGTGGGTGGAAGGAAGGATGAGAAGGGCTGTAACCATTCCAATGTCATTTGATAATTTGATTCGGAAGTTATCAGGATACTTTTTTGCCTAAAAAAAAAAAAACCTATACGTGTGTGCATGCATTGTATATATGTGTGTATACATATGTGTACTTGTATATGTATATATATATATATATATATATATGTTTACATGTATGAATGTATGTATGCATTTGTATGTGTGTAATCTGTTGTGAATCATATAAAAAGTACATAGGGTGGTGCTGTTGTTGTTGTTGTTATTTGCTGTCGAGTTGGCCCTGACTCATAGCGACCCCTCCTTGGGTTTCCGAGGCAATATCACTACGGAAGTAGGATTGCCCAACCTTCCTTCCGAGGAGTGGCTGGGTAGGTTTGAACCGCCAGCCTTCTGGTTAGCAGTCAAGTGCCTTAGGCACTATGCTACCAGAGCTCCTAGGGTGGTGCTGAGCATTGTGAAAATTTACTTTCTCAAAGTGTAAGATTAAATATTCTAAGTTACGATTGCCTGTCCAGATAAATTTATGAGTGTCTCAGTAGTAGTGAAATTACATATGTCATCTATTTAACAATTGTATCTTTGTTGTTTTTAACATGGAAAGCAGTAACTGAATTTCTAAGTGCACTGTCCAAACAAGCCTAAAAACTCTCCTTAAATGCTGAAAAGAAACAAACAGACATGTCCCCTTTCTCTAACCATTCACTTCATGAAAACTCAACTTCTCAGACTGTTTCCCACTCTCTTTCGAGGTGAAAACCCTGGCTGAAAACATCTCTTCTAAATTCTCTGTAGCCTAATCAGAGTCAGTAAATGGCAGTAATGGCTGACGACTCTCCACCTCGCCTCTCACCGCCTCCAGCCACCGCACAGCGTCCCCTGCCCACCTGTTTCTCTATTTTTCAGGTGGGTAGAGGAAGGGGTCTGATTGGCCGGCCGTTCCCTGAAAGGAAGAGACAGATCTGCCCGGTCCTGTTGAGGGCTTACAGCTTCTTCAGAATGCAGATAAGGGGGTGAATAGGACTGCGGGTCATTCTGGGGACCACCTTAGGACTTCCACACTCCTCTGTGACCTGGTGTTGAGAAGGCCCTTCAGACACAGCCCAAAGGAGCTAATTAAGGTAAGGACGCTTTCACATTCAGTATCGGTCTTTTTGGGGAAGAGATAATGCTTTTTTCTTCCTTTCCTTTTCTCTCCCCTTTCCCTCCCCACCACCTTGTGGCTTCTTAATGCATTTTAAGTGGGCAAGGGGCCTTCAACAGGGGCAGACACAGGGAACAGAAATGTCTTTAAGCCAATCAGTAGAAGTGGATCTTTCACACCTGAACGAACACGTAATCATCCTGGACAATCAAAGAGTCTGGGTCAATGTAGCCCGGGAAAGGTTTATTTCTGTTGGCCTCTGTGCAGTTTTGCATTCGGCAAGTTAGGTATTGGGAATCTGAAAAGAAAAACAAAATAGAGGCCAGGGGGTGACACACACAGAAATTAGAGTCACATTTCCCGTTTTCCTCACTATCTCCATCCTGACCGGAACCTCCCAGTTTTTGTTAACTACTTATGATTGCTGTCAGTATTGCTGTTAAAATTACCATTGTGGCCACTGTATTCATTTGCTACTATTACCACCACCACCCCCCCTTTCCACTGCCTCCACCAACTCTTACCATACTAGAACAGCAAGTTCTTATTAATTATTTTTATCTTCCTAAACAAAAATGAAGTATTTTCAGCAACTGGCAATACTACTTGTGATTTCATGGATTTTTTTTTTTTTTTTTTTTCCTCTCATTAATAGGTCATCTCCTGACACTGATCTTTCACAGACAAATGCGGAAGTAAACATATAAATGCAATCACAATCATCTCTGGCTGGTAGCGCTGCTGTTATAAATAAGATTCTGTGCACATAAAGGCTTTCTTCTTCCACTAATTGGATGTGAAAAAGAACAGGAAGCAGATCTGGAATCAAACACTTGGCTCTCATTTTACGGATGAGGAAACAGAATCTCACCCGAGACTCTAACACAGATGATAAACACAGGATCAGCCATGACCACTCTCACATAGATTGGATCTTCACTCCTGGAGATGTATTGTGTCAGGATGGCTGTCCTTGTTTCTCAACTCCTCTGCCCTCTCTGCATAATTCACATGATGGCCCTTCAGTATTTAAAACTCTTTTTCTCTCATGCATTCAGAATAAATTCAAACCCACCTGCCCCCAGCACCTCACCCCTCCCCTCCTTTGCTCCAATGCTAATGTCTTCATCTGTCCCTGGGCTTCTTCTAACCTGGCCTATTTTATGCTCAAGAAACTGGCCAAGCTTTCTGCCACAGAGACTTTTCATTTGTTATTGTCTCTGCTTAAAATACATTCTCTGAGGTTTTTCCCAAAAAAGGTATCAGATTTCAGCTCCTCGTTACTTCTTAGAATCTTCCAAGATCATCTCACAAATCACCTGTTACTTCCCTTCCTGAAATTTGTCACATTCTAAAATCACTGTGTTCACTGTCTATTTCTGGCCCCTCTCCCCACCGTTAGAATGTAATCTCCGTGACTACGGAGATCTCTGTTTTGTTCACTGTGGCAGTTCCCTCCAGGTCCCAATGCCGTTCCTGGCACATAACCACACAGTAGACAATCAACCAATGTTTCTTAGAACATGCCTTTTTAAATATAGCATGTCTTTCTGAATAAACAAGAAAGTGATTTTTGTTTCATGATGCTTGATGAATTATTGGGTATGCATTTCAGGTATAATAGACATGCAGAAATCCACTCTTCCAAATTAAAAAAAAAATCGGGAGCTGATTATTTACCTAAAAAGAGGAAAGCAACAGTTTGTTCAGATGGGTGTACAAATTCACTAAGGACTTCCCTTAACGAAATTAGGGAGGCAGAAAGAACTTCCCAAGGCCCCATCTCTTTGAGGAACTGGGTATACCTGTAGTCTACAAGGATAGCCACTAGGGGGAGGCATGCACATTTGCTCCACGTGAACGGTAAGAAAAGACTAAAACTGATGTAGCTGCTGATTAGCTCTCAGGAGACTGGTTGGAAGAGGGCTTTACCTACAATCTTCCTTCATCCCTGCAACCTCTGTGGGGATGTGGATAGCTTTCAATCACTTTAACCCATCTAGTTGCGGTGAAACCACCCCCCAAAGAGAAAAGCAAGTCCTCTTCTCACCACCCTCCCACATCTCCTTTTTCAAAGAAATATCCTTGTACTTCCATTAGGGCACATTTTGAGATCTTTCCCCTCAAAGACAATTTCTAGAGTATGTCTAGGAATCAGAGAAACCTTAAAAAAAAAAAAAAAATTCACTGCTGTGGAATTGGTTATGACTCAGAGACCCCTTCTTGGGTTTCTGATGTGATATCACTATGGGAGTAGATTGCCCAATCTTCCTTCCTACTCTTTGGAATATTAAAACATCAAGAAACAAGTGTTTACATAAAAAGGGGGTGAGCAAGAGGATGTCCAGATGGGTCTACGAGCAGGTCTCCTCATATCCAGTTCCTATAGCACACACAGTCAGTCTTTACCTGCTGATTTCATACTCTAGGAGGATTTGTATTGCTTTTAAATGACTTTAATTTTCACAAGCAACATGACATTTGCAACTACGAAGCCTGGTTTTGAATTCAGATGTTGTCACTAACGACTTGCTTGGCTCAAAGGAAATCACCTCACCATCATGGCTGTATCTTGTTTCTTCTGCTCTGAGAGCCATCCTATCTTGTAACAACATTGATGCTGCTTTGAAACTAAAGAACTTGCATAAATATCAGTTGTTACTATCACTAATGATATGACTATTTTTTTGTTTTATTGTTGCCTTTGACAGTTTGAGTCACAGAGCAGGTCCTTAAAAAGACTGGCTGAACTGGAGTACTCCAATTATAATTCTGTAACAGGTTCGGTTGACGACCCACCCGACACCCATTCTTCTCTTCGTTCTTTGCTAGAAAAACCAAGAAGGAATTTGTTTGCTCATCCTTCTACCATGTGACTCAGAAACCCCCACACCCAGGGATTAGTCCAGGACAGTCTAAGACGACTCCAGGTCTTTACTCCTCTTACCACTATTGGTTTAGGAAGGGACATATAAACCAAGTTCTGACAAATGATAAGTGAAGAAAGGCCTTTTAAGGGGCTTCAAGGAGCTAAACTAGAATATTCTCTTTTGCCTCTTGATATCACCGTCTGAATATGATGCTTGGAGCAGCTCTAACTTCCTGCTGCACGAATAATCCCATTTTACAGTCAAGCTGACATAATGAGTATGGCAGAGATGGAAAGAATCTTGTTCTCTGATGACATCACTCAGCTACGGACGTATTGAGCCTAGAGCGGCTCTACGTCTCTGCTGCTTGGTATGTAAGATAATGAACAAAAACAAGCATCAGACCAAACTGAGTCCAAGGTTCTTGATTAGGAGGCTTTGAACCTGAAATTAAAAATAAAATTTCCAATTAAAATTTCTAAGACTGCCACCTAATAAGAACTTCCTGATGGATACAAAATGCTTATCTTCTACTGAGACCTTTTATTAGTAATAATATCTGATAATTCTTTCTTTCCTAAGACTCAACCTCCTCTTAAAGGATCCCTGAACAGATATATTAAGATGGAAAATATAAACATATGCTTTGCACATTTATAAAAATCTGAGGGATTATGGAGGGAAATAGAAATGAAGAAAGGAAACTAACTGCCTAAGGCATTTGACTGCTAACCAGAAGGCTGGCAGTTCAAACCCACCAGCCACTCCTTGGAAGGAAGGTTGGGAAATATACTTCCATACTGATACTGCCTCAGAAACCCAAGAAGGGGTCACTATGAGTCAGATCTGACTCGACAGCAGTGTGTAGGTAGGTAGTAAGTAGATATGCAAGGCACTCTAAAGTATGCTTACATATATTTTTGTATATTTAATCTTCACAATACTGAAACAAAAAAACAAACACACTATCTCTATGTTAGTAGATTGCCCAATTTTGAATTCAGATAATGTGACTAATGACTTGCTTGGCTCAAAGGAAATCACCTCATCATCATGGCTGTATCTTGTTTCCCTCTTCTGCTCTGAAAGCCATACTATCTTGTGACAACATTGATGCTGCTTTGAAAGTCTAAAGAACTTGCCTAGAGTGCCTAGAGTGGCTGGTGGGTTTGAACCGCCAGCCTTCTGGTTAGCAGTCAAATGCCTTAGGCACTACATTACCAGAGCTCCCAACACTAATATATTAATAAATGTTCAAATATAATATACAACTGATTTTACACATGATGAGGATGAAGCTCAAAGACAGATGCGATCTGTAGACATGACTGTGTGGAGTTTCAAACTTGGCCTGATTTCCACTGCAATAGGTTGCATGAAAAACTCAGAAGCATATTTCAGGACATTGATAAAGTCTGATAAAGTCTTTTCACTTCATCAATAAATACATTCAGATACATAAGTAGAAGATCTGTAAATGAATATTTTTTTTGGGGGAAGCAATATGGCAATATAGATCAAGGTCCTTAAAAATGATTGTTCCTTGGGTTTACTTCTGAAAATTCTGCCTTACCTATGGGAATAATGAAGGATCCCTGAAAAGATTTAGCCACTTGGATATTCATCACAGTCTTGTTTCTAACAGAAATATTCAAAAACCCAAAATGACCAACAACAGAGGAATAACTTGATACATTATGGAACATGCAAAGTTTGCTATTAAAATCACATTTTTAAAGACTATATAAGAATTTTCAGAAATAATTAATACATTTTCTATTTGATAAGCAGGTGGTGGTGGGTGCTACTGCCGCCGACTCACAATGATTGCATGCACAGCGGGACGAAATGCTGCCTGGCCGGTGCAATCCCCAAGGTAGGCTGTGGACTGGCCCGTTGTGACCCACAGGGCTTTCGCTGGCTGATGTCCGTCAATTAATAATATTGGACCAATGTTAATTTCTTAGTTTTGCCAAGTATATCATGGTTGTGTAAGATGTTAACATCAGGAGCAGCCAAGTAAAGGGGACATGTCATAGATAGTATCTTTCAACTTTTCTGTATTTCTAAAATGATTCAAAATAGATACAAGTTTGCAAAATGTAAGTTACCAAAATTTGTACATTAAGGACCCAATTTTGCACAAGTTATATATAGAGATACTGGCAAGTTATATATAGAGACACTTATGTATGTGTGTTTGCCCAGGAATAAAATGAATACAAGGTACGTAGGGAATGTCAGAAACAGTTAAAGGAAGTAATGGGAGGGTCAGACAGCCTGTGTACAGATCCCTGGCTGAGCACCTCCAGCTGGGTGAGTGCCGGCACATCATGGGGAGGGCTCCTGAGTTCAACCGTCACTAATCCCTCTGGCTTGTCTACCTTCCTCCACTCTGCAGGCCACCATATGCCAAAGTTTAACTGTT